GGGTTTGGGGTTTGGGGTTTAGAGGGGTTCTAGGGCCCTTCATAAAGGTACATATAGGGTATATAGTAGGTACGTAAAGATCCCAGGGTTAAGGGCCCATACTAGGGGCGCACGGATTCAACCTTAGATATGTAGAGCTTCCAGGGTCCTATGACGCTCACCGTTTTGGGGCGGCGGGACGGGGGTTGGGGGATACTGCTGATGATATAGATCCTGCATACACGGTATGTTCCTACATTATGGATTCTGTGGATTTATATCATCACCCGTATGACAGAAGGCGACACTACGCGAAGCGTAAACCTGAACCATTGTCAGCATAGTCTCCGTTGTAACCATACCTACCAGAACAGGCCATAGCTGTAACTGGCTGTAGCCGTGGTCAGCATACAAGTCTTCGTAACGGCAGCAGTCGCCATCATGACAACCACCCCCCAAATCACCATCATTGTCTCGACCATCACAACAACGGCCGCTGGATCATCCTAACCATCCTCCTTCCGAAATGGTCAGCGGAAACAGTGAAGCAAGGACCAACAACATCCAACAAACATAACGGGAGGCACAAGTGAAGGCAGCAGCGGCAGCACTCGCGCTGGCAATAGCTCTAGAAACAGGCAACGCCCTTCACCATCACAACAAGATAACAGGAAGCCACGGTAAACAACCTAAAATCAGCCCTAAAGCCTAAACCCTTAACCCTAAACCCCCTAAACTCTAGACCCCCCCAAAAAGAAAACAACGGGCTCCCCGGCTTGGGGTCCACAGGCTGATGCTTGCCGTTCGACCTCAGAGGCGTCGGATGCAGAAACCTTTCGGGGGGCTTATATAGGGCTTAGAGGGTTTAGGGTTTAGGGGCTCAGGGTGTAGGGCTTATTAGGGCTTAGGGTTTAGTGTGTAGGGGTTTAGGGGTTTAGGGCTCAGGGTGTTTAGGGCTTAGGGCTTATAGGGTTTAGGGCTTTGGGTTAGGGCCTGTTTGGGCTTAGGCCTTGGGGTTGAGGGACCGCAGGGGCTTAAGGCTTAAGGCTCAAGGGGTGCATTTTTTTTGTGGGGGGGGGGGACGAAAAGAGGGACTACCCGTGTTCTCCATTGTGGTTCCTTTATTTGGTTTAACCACTTACATGTTAAGGATTTTATAAGGCATCCCCAAAAAGGAACTACAATGGAGACTACAGGTATAAACCATACTTGCTTTCTGTGACAACTATTCATATGTACCCGTGGGTAACCTGAGACCAGGCGAAGCCATGCAGCCTAAGCACACTTGAGACTAAGCCTCCCCTCCTTGGAGGTTCACGGGTAGTTATATGTGGGCCTATATGTAGGGCCGCTGTTAAGTAGTTCCTTTTGGGTTTAGGGTTTAGGGTTTAGGGTTTACTTGGAGGTTCATGGGTAGTTACAAGTTATAAGTAGGGTTATAAGTAGGGTAACTATAGTTATATCCTATATTAGGGGACTTCTAACTCCACTTATAACTACCCATGAACCGCCGAGTAGCCCCATACAAGCAATCCAGGAATGCACCCCAGCCTGGCATCATCCGACAGACACTGCTGGGATGTACCTTAACCTAAACCCTAAAGCCTAAACCCTATACCCCTAAACCCTAAACCCCTAAACCCTAAACCCTAAACCCCTAAACTCTAAACCCTAAACCCCTAAACCCTAAACCCCTAAACCCTAAACTCTAAGCCCTATGTACAGTGCGGCCGAGATCCGATGTCTTAACACCCCTTCTTTCCCAGAGACTCCAATATCCCTTGATTGAGGAATACACCTTAAATTGCATTAGGGATCCTACTATAATTTAAGGTAAATTCCTGAATTAAGGGATATTGGAGTCTCTGGGTCTTTGCTTGGCATCTGGCACCGCCGGTGCTGGCTCCTGGCAGCAGTTTCTGCAACGAAACCATATGAGAAGCCTAGTCTTAGACGTTGTACCCTACGCCCCACGCTAACACCGAAACCCAACCACAAGAATAGGGGTCATGTTATTTCAAAGGTATTTCGCGTTCCTTCCTTGGGTGCCCTCAAACTCTCATTTCGGTCAGATCACTGCCGCGCCTCAGAGCATTCAGATGGCGCCGCTTGAGCTTCTCTTCTCCATGAGAAGAGATACGGTTGATGATATAAACCCTGCAGTACCGATCATAAGGAATATACCATACATCCCACAGTTCAGGGTCCCTAAGGTAATGCAGGATTTATACCATCAACCGTACCACCCCAACCCTCCGAACTGGACTTTCGCCCAGGTCCTGCATGCGTGCCAACCATACCTGTAGTCTCCATTGTGTTTCCTGGTTTTGGTAAAGTATCCCCAAAAAGGAACTACAATGGAGACTATCGATACAGACAACTTCTGAAGTGGGCAGTAGAAGGCTTTATTCCCCCACAGAGTGCCAACCCCAATTTGTACATCCGTAGGTTCTCTGTGATGTCAGAGTTTGAAGGGAATGCTCAAGCAAAATCAGCCAGGACTCCCAGTCTACCCCGGAACAGGAAGGACCTTAACGAAACACATCGCCGCTACCTCACAGCCGATGTGAAGTGCAAACACCCCGAAACCCGCCTAAACCCTAAAGCCGAAACACAGGCAGCAAGGGGCCACGGGCAGCGCCAACTTGGCTTTCTTTCCATTAACCTGGACACTGCCGGCACTGATCGAGACAAACTGGTGGCACACATTGCGCAGGTACTCATGCTCTAATGAAAACGCAGAATCAAAGCCGAAACTCACTGAACCAGCCCACCCTGAACTGGCGGACGCGAAAGCCCGAAGTCTATACACGAGACTTCAGAACTCTCAACTTAAGCAGTGAGACCTCTACTGCAAAGTCGAACATGAAGAGCCGATGAGTCCTGGTGACGGTCGCTCTCTAGCAGGATCACCTTACTAGAACCCTCTCATTTCGGCTCAAAACCCTTGTAAGACCCCATCTTATGGACACGAAACAAAAAAAGCATCCGATGCGCCCACCCGTTGCACGGCCTGCTTGTCATCCTCCTCCTTCGCTTCGATTTTCTCCTCCCAAGAGTGAGGCTGACAGCAAGCTTTGGGTGTTGGGGTTTAGGCTTTAGGGTTTGGGGTTCAGGCTTTAGGTTTTAGGTTTTAGGGTTTAGGATTTAGGGTTTAGGGTTTAGGGTGTAGAGAATATTCCTGCTAAATCTTCAGGCTATTAATATAGGGGCCTTAAATTAGAATAGGGTTTTGGGGTATATTATACTCTAGTTATAATAAGGAACCTTCAAAATAGTATCGGTAACTGTATAAGGCCCCTACATTATGTTTGGTTGCTGGGTCTAAGTTTAGGGGTTTAGGGTTTAGGGCTTAGGGCTTATAAGGGCTTAGTGGTTAGGGTTTAGGGCTTAGGGTTTAGGGTTTACGGGTTTAGGGTTTATAGGGCTCAGGGTGTTTAGGGCTTTCTCTTTCAATCTTCGGGCTGGGAGCTTGCAGGAGATCAGATAGGACCCGTCGGTTCAAAGGATTGAGTTCCTACTGCTGATGATATAAGTCCTGCATGACCCCAAGGACCTAATAACCTATGGGAATTACGGTATATTCCTTATGATGGGTAATGAAGGGTTTGCATCATCAACCGTAGGGGGTGCCGGGGGCGTCTGAGCACATCGAAAGTCACAAAGCCTACGGGCAGTCGAACATCAGCTGACACCAGACCCTAAACCCT